ATGAACAAAACTGTTCATGAATCGTATTGGTTTACCTCTTCGTATATGTTCATATTGGAGTGTGCAGTTTTTTGCCAGACATCTACGAAGAATGATTCGGAAACGGGATCGTCGCAAGAGACATCATATTTGAACTTAGCAGGCCTTCGAGAGTCAGGAAGGAGGCCAAGGTGTTCCTAAATCAAAGAAATCATTATTCATTCGTTCGGTCCTAACAAATAAATCCTCACCTTCATGCACTGCAATCGCAGAGATTTTGCAAACTTTCCCGCTTCGTATGGTCGTCCATTCATTACTGATTTCTCTTTTTGAGTATCCGTGTATAAAAGGCACACTTCAGAATCTCGGTTACCCACCTAGAACTTGGAAGCTGCATGAGAACTACGAACCGAAACACTTTATTCTTAAGGAAAAAAAGAGAAACATAACAACAAAAAATTTTTTAGGCTAAAACAGCCCACTTACGATGAGAAAAAGAGCACATTATTTGAATCTAAGAACATAGTTTCTGAATAAACGAAGCTGAAATGACAAATAAATATTGGGTAAAACCAACCTGAGACCGATCATTGATGTTGGCGGATCCGATGATTACATGCTCGTCGTCAACAATAAGCAATTTGCAATGAATATAAATGAGTTCAGACATCTGAAATGTTATGATGCAATAAATTCTAAGGTCCGAGTCAAGAAGTCACAGCAAAAAATAAATAACTCACTAATTTTCCACAAAGCATATCATAAGTTCGTAATGAACAAACAGAAATGTACTCATGCGGATCGGGAACGACCTGAAAAGCAAGATTTCTGCATATCCAAAATGCAGTAAAGATGCAGATTTGATTGAAAAGATGTTCGGATCAAAAAAATGCAAGCAAATAATCAGAAGATAGGTATCAAATGATAGATTTATGCTTGTTGACAAATTGAAAATTTCTGCGGTCACTCCATTTCCAATACCCTAACATTTTCACTGAAAATTCTATGTCAAAACTAACCGCTTTCAATTGTTCAAACAGGGAGTTTGGTCCACGACTAAGGGACCGATATGTCCAATGTAAAACTGCTTGTAGAGCAGAACCACCCGGAGCACCAACGTTTCCTTCGAAGC